TTTTTAAAATGGTCATAACTAGAAAATTTCTTATAAGAATCACCTCAAACTTTCTACACAGCATAAGGACATCGATATGGTATCAGAAAATGTAATAAAAATTGGGGGTGATTTGGGAGCCATTTTTTGGAAAAAACCATGGGCTATAGCCTTGGGTATATTTCGAAAATGGCCCGTTTTTTAAAATGGTCATAACTCGAAAATTTCTTATGAGAATTGACTCAAACTTTCTACAAAGCATAAGGACATCAATATGTATCAGAAAATGTAATAAAAATTGGGGGTCATTTTTCAGTCATTTTTTGGAAAAAACCATGGGCTATAGCCTTGGGTATTTTTCAAAAATTGGCCAGTTTTTTAAAATGGTCATAACTCGAAAATTTCTTATCGGAATCGAATAAAACTTTCTACACAGCATAAAAACATCAATATGTATCAAAAAATGTAATAAAAATGGGGGGTCATTTTTTAGCCATTTTTTGGAAAAACCATGGGCTATAGCCTTGGGTATTTAAATTGGCTCATTTCTAAACTCAAAATAAATCAGTGTCAATATAATGTATCATAAAATGGCTACATACACTTTGGTTTGGTCTTTGCTCTCTTCCTCTAACATTTCTTCTTCTGATTCCTCTTCCTTCTAAGAAATAAAATAATAATACAATAACTCACACACTCTCTCAATACTCCACCTCTTCTTCTAACTTTGGCCTTTTAGCACTCCTAGTATAATACAAATTAATAACAATAATAATAATAATAATAATAATAATAATAATAATAATAAATAATTCCAACTCTACACAGTAACAATATTAATAATAAGTACATATACCGTACAATATGATTTATTGGCAAGGAATTAATATTGGCAATTGGCGGTTCTATGAAGAAATGGCCAATATAAAATCCGCCATTTTGTTTTAAACTGAGCATGCTCAATGGCACATGGCACAATAGTGATGGGCGAATCCAGAAATTTGCATTCGATTCCGATTCTGAATACTTCTGAGACTGGAATCGATGGAATCGAATACCGATTCCGAGACTACATCTGCGCATGCGCAAAGCCACGTGGTATCAATTACAGCAATAATTAAGGTATTAACTACTGATTTATTAACTATTATTAATATTAAAAGGTGTGGTTGGGTGTGGTTTAACTCAAAATCGTTTCAAACGATTCCTACTTCTCTTTCGATACGAGTACGATTCCATTCGGAATCGAAGGATCGAATACTCCGGACTCGGAATCGCCCATCACTATGGCACAATATAAAATCAGCCAATTTCTTTCCACAGGTAAATTTGCCAAATATTACTCCCACCAATAAATCATCTTGTATGGTATATTTTACAGTGTGGAGGTGCTAATATTAAAATTAAGTGAAAATGTGATTATTTTCTCTCCTCACTGTAGCTCCTCGTTAGAGAGGGCGGGGTCAGACACCAGTCTATCATCCTTCAGTACATCATGACTACTCTTAATCTTTATATTCCTCGTCTGTCACATGATAGTCACATGATCCAACCACCACACCCACCCTCACCTGTATCACCTCGTTAAGTTCCTCCTCCTCTTCCTCTGCCTCCTCACCAAACGAGAGCAAAGAGAAGTTCCTATTAGATACGCCTACTTGACCACACCCCCAGAGGGAAAGGGTTGTACCTACTTTGTTGCTTTCGATTGACTTTGTACTTTTTCTGACTGACCACGAGCAGTTTTACACCTGGACTCACGAGGAACTATATCGTCAAAAGGATTATGTAATAC